ACTGCCTTCGGCTCAGGTCATGATCCTGGAGTCCCGGGATCGAGTCCCGCATCGGGCTCCCTGCTCAGCGGGGAGTCTGCTTCTCCCTCTGACTCTTTCCCTCTCATGCTCTCTATCACTATCTCTCTCAATAAATAAATAAAAATCTTAAAAAAAAAAGAAGTTCACTTATATTCCATATGCAACTGAATTCAATGTAAATGGAATAACCAAACTGCTTTTACTTCCAATATCTAAAATGACAACACAAACAATGAATATAATACAGCACTGAAAAGATTACCTTTTCTTTCTCTGTTGCCACCAGGGAAATGGCCAGACCCATCCTGAAAGATTTGAGAAGTCTTTATTAGACTTTATTCCTGAAGCATAGAAGCGTAAAAAAAAAAAAAAAAAAAAATTACAGCAGTACCTTTCAGCTCTTCCTACTCTGCCAATTCGATGTACATAGTTTTGCTTTTCATCAGGCAAGGTGACGTTTATAACTGCAAATCAAAATAATTATTACCAATTGCCATTAATTTCTAAAATTTTCAACCTCATTAGATGTTTGATGTTCTAAATATTTCAAAAACATTAGAGGGTTTACTTTGAATTCCATAAAATTTAAATTGCAGCTATCAAACTTTCTTTTTACCATAAGGAACACCATGGATATCAATTCCTCTGGCGGCTACATCTGTGCAAATCAAGAATCTTACATCTCCTTTCTAAAGAGAACAGAGAGGAGAGAAAGGAATTTATTAGGACACAGACTAAAAAATAAATAGAAATACTACCAGTCCAGTAAGTGAGACCTCTAATAACTAATGTGTTACTATCAGATTAGAGGTCCAGATATTCATAATGCACTGCACCATATCTTAAATTTTTAAGTTATGATCTACTAAAACAAGACATTTAAGGTGAATAAATCAATAATTTGATTCATTTTTTATTTTCCTTTTTCTCACACCAAAGACATTAAACTGCTATAATTTGGCTTTATCTTTAGAAATCCTGACTGATAATTCAGAAGAAAGTTTATAAAATTAAAAAAAAAAAGGAAAGATAAAATAGAACAAAAATGTTACAATATAAGCATTATCTTTACCCTTATATTAAAATAAATTCAGAATACTAGGTATTTTACCTTGAGGTTACACTTTTTGTGACAACAGACAAAATCCTAAGACAAGGGAACAGAGAGTGGGCCCAGGGCTCTCACCAAGGAAATACAAATTAGTCTTTGGATGCCATCTGTGCCCCAAGGCACAGCAAAGTTACAGATGGGGTGGGGAAGGGATGCTGACTGGGGTCCAGCGTAAGACCCTGGGTAGATATGGGCAGGCACACACACCGAAATGCGACCATAAAACATGCTTCAATATCCACATTCTGCTCAGTGTGGAAGCATAACCCAAAGTTCCTAAGCTCAGTTCTTCCCACCTTTTATTCATATGATGGGTCTGAGAGAAAATACTATTTGTACGCTGTCTGCACTGGGGTCAACACACTGGTAAGTAATGAGAATGCTGTGGGTGGAGGCTACTGACCTTGTGTTCTAAATGGCTCAAGCCCTCCCCACCTCCACCAAGAGCTAACCAACCTGTTCCCGGGCTGCCAGGATATAACTGGGACAGTGTGCCCCAAACAATTACAAGTATTTTTAATTCCACAAAACCATATTCTTGATACCTATCTTAAATTAATCTACAAATTAACTTCTCTATGGGTATTACTACGAACTGTTAAAAAAAATAAGACTCACAGACACAGTTTAACTATCCCGTGATGCTTCTCCTAAAAATATCTACCTGAAAGAATTTAACTAAAACTTAAGTTGAAAATTCTTATCACAGCAGTGTTGTGCAGAGAATATATTAATTTACTATTGACTGCTAAAGATGACTAAGCCCTGTCATGGCAAGGATATTCCAACAGGGTAAAAATCTTTTAAAATTTCTAGGACAAGAACGGCTTTAATAATATTAACTGGAACTGATTAAAATTGGCTATGAGCCCCCTCTTAATTATTAAGGAAATACAATCAACTAAATAGCACTACCTTAAATCTTTCCAAGTTTTGCTTCCTTTCATGAGGCTTTCTGTCCCCATGAAGACAAACACATGAGAACTGGTGTCCTTTTTTATCAGGTCCTGGTGAAAAGCACATTAAACAGTTAACCTTGGAAAGTATTATACCAAAGACTATGTCAAAAAACCAACAGCATTCAGACTACAATGGTGCCATATAATTCTACAGAAATCTGTTCCCCAATCTGCCATAAACCATGGTTAACACAATTTCTGTCATAGGTGAAATGCCATTAAAATAAACTCCATGAGCATTAAAACTGATTTGCTTTGAAGGATATTTCTAAGTCACTTTTCCTGATCTGCAGAAGTAGACAGAACAGTATGCCAATTAAGATGTGTTACTAAAAGGAAAACACACATGTATACCAGGAACCTTTCCTATCCCATATAAAGCAAAGAACCAAAAAATGTAGACAAGAGAGATCTATCTTGGAAGAACCAAAATAGGCATTATGAAGTTCATGCCCTTACTAAAAGCCACACCCACAAGCATACCCTCCTCGGGAGGTACCCTGGCCAAAGTAGATTAGAAGCAAACTGGTAGGATGGAAAGACAGATGCAGTGGTAGCCAATCCTAAAGAAGAAGCTCAAGTAGATACAGTAACAAAAAGCAGTCCAGTCCAGACCAAAGTAAGGGTAAACAGCCTTCTAGAGCACAAGAGAACCTGTAGGCTCCATTATGAGCACAGAGTAACAATTATGCTGTAACTGCTCGCCACAGTAAAGTTTAGGTTCAATAAAATTACTCCAGAATTCAAGGAAAAATATATTATGAAACCTACCCACCCAAAATGATTAACACAAGAACTAACTATGCAGAGGAGAAATAATAGCTAATCAGAACTTCCAGAGGCCTACAGCTTAGGTCTTATTGCATTCGGAATTCAAGTGGTTTAGGAAAATATCACAAACACACTCCTACTCCCCAGTTGAGCTGTGTATAGAGAAGGGAGGGCTCCTTAATTCCCTTTCTTAAACCTCTGAAATTCTGGTATATATTGTGTTATTTTGGTTTTGGAAATTTGGTTTTTAGACAAAGGTACCCAGAATACTTAGGGAAGGAAGGTAAAAAGAACTAAGGAATATTACTGCTTGAGCAATGGCATTTCTTACCAAATAATCAAATGCTCCATTCAAAACCAACATGGACAGGAAGAAGTATTACAAAACAGCTGCTATAACTAAAACAACCAAGCAAGTCTGTTTGCTATGACTTGGGGGAAAAAAAAGGTATTAAACAGTTCACTGTAATTAACAATATAACCTGTTCTTCATATGACCATTTGTTCCAACTTTTTAAAATGTTTTGAGTTTTCTGGCTCCCTGATGTACACCAGTTACAAAAAGAGATGTGTTAAGAGTTCTCCCCATTATGAAAGCAGGATTTATCTGTTACCTTGTACATCTGTCAATTTTTGCTTTATATATTTTGCTTTATATATATATATATATATATATATATATATGTACTTTCAAACACAGCAACAATGAAAGAATTCTAAAAGTAGATAGCTATATTTTCACATCCTAGATTATACCACTAACATTTACTGTATTTCCTTTACTGTCTATCTAGCCCTTTTTCCTATGAATTCATTTTTGTATTTTTGATGCATTTCAAGGTAAATTGCAAGTATCTGTACACAGTTCAGCATGCATCTCATTAACTAGAAATGCAGTTATCTGTTTAGGTTTTATGACTTTCCTTCGAGGTGAAAGTTATATACAAGGAAATGTACAAATCTTAAGTGTATATCTGCTGAGTTTTGACAAATGCATGCACCTATGCGGCCCAAAGCCCTGTCAAGATAGAGAATATGAATGTCACTCCACAAAGTACCCCCATGCCCTTTCCCAGTTAACCCCACTTCCATTCTGCTGGGGAAAGACCACTGTTGTGGGTTTCTTCCCCTTACAGATTAATTGACTCTTCTAGAACTTCACACAAATGGAATCATACAGAATATAGGCTTGTGTAAGAAATCATTCATTCTGCAAGTTGTCTGAAATTCACCCACAGCTGTTGACTCCGTTCCTTTGTATCACTGAGCAGTATTCCACTGAAAATACTTCACATCTGATTTAAGCCATTCCCCTACTGATGGCCACCTGGTATATCTTCAGTTTGGGGCTATAATAAATAAAGCTGCTATGACCATTCTTGCCCATAGCTTTTGTCAATAAATCTTGGATAAATATTACTTATCTTGAGTAAATATTCAGGAGTTGAATTACTAAGCCATAAGATAGCAATGTTAATTTTATTTAAAAATGTAAGACCTCTTACCGACGTGGCTGTGCAGCAATTAGTATGAGTGCTTCAGTTGTTCCACATCCTTACCAAAATCTGGCGTTGTATTTTTAATCCAGCCATTACAATGAGCGTACAATGGTATTACATTGTGACTTTGCATTTCCCTAACGACTGAGCATGTTGAGCATCCCTTCATGTTGGTTTATTTATTTCATGTTATAAGGAGCATAACATTAGAATCATCATATATTCATTGTAGGTTAACTATGTGATTACATAGTGACCTTTGTTTCTAGTTAATATTTTTGTCTTAAATTCTACTGCATCTCTTGTTAATATAGCTAGACCGACTTTCTTTTGATTAGTAGTTTAGCTGAAATATTTTTTCAGCCCTTTTGATCTGTCCATGTCCTCAGGTTTTAAGTATGTCTCTTGTAAACAGGATATAGCAGTCTAACCATCTATGCCTTTTAACCGAGGACTTCAGTCCACTGATATATAGTGTTTACTCATATACTCAGATTTTTCCACCAGCCATCTTACTCTGTAATTTCTAACCATTCTGCTTTTTCTTATTATTTTTCCTCTTGCTTTCTTAGCCTTTTTAAGATCGTTTTTTCCTCATTTATTGGTTAGAAGATATACATTCTACTATTTAATGATTATACTTGAAATTTTAACATTAATCAATAACATTACCCTTCTTCCAAATGACAGCAGGGCCTCAGAACACTCTACTGAAACTGGAAAGCCCTCACTGTTTTCCTGGGGCTTATCCTATGAAAAAGTACTAGATGCGCACAGATACTTACAATGCAACATCACTATTTTAAATTCTGTGCATGCATTCTAGGCCGCAACAACATGAGACTAATAATCTATTAAATGAGGAAATAAACACAATTTATTTTAAGTGAGGAAATATTACCTCCTCCTTGTTGCATAAAATATTGCTCCAAGTTGTCACAGTCAATTTTGGTTCTACAGAAAATAATTGCTTGATCCATCTTGTGTTCCTTGATTGCCCGGACAGCATACTCCCCCTTCAGGATTTTAATAGCTTCAGACCACATCTCTTGAATACCATAACAACAAAAACGGAAAAAGAATTTCAATGTAAAATTGATATAAACACACACAAATACAGTCATAGACTTACTGCTTAACTCACCTAAAACACTCTGTTTTAATATAAGTATTATAGACAAAAGTAAGTAAGATTAAGACAGGATGAAATGGTGAGAAAATATCCATTCACTCATTTGTTCCTATTTCTGTTAATGTACATTTGTGCCAGTTTAGGGGGCACCAAAAGACCTATAACCATACTTCTTATGAGGGAAAACAGACATACAAACACACAAGTAAACAGAACTTCATACCTACAACAAAACTGTTTCTACCTCTCATGGACAACTAATCATATTCTGCCTTGCATTAACTTCCCTAACTGCTCAATAAATGTTTACTCAATTATTTTAACCCCTTTTAAAAATAATTAATGTACTTTTTAAATCAATTTAACATCAGCAAGTTCACATCACTCTACAGAATAAAAACTGTACGTCAAACTAAGTCATTTCTTAGCCATCACCCCACCCCCCATCTCTGTTTCAGTAGGAAGTTGCGCTAGTTACCAACTATCTAATGTGAAATTTTAATTCTGTAACCCACCATATTTCTAAAGTCTCTCTAGTCATATCTAATTGTTGTATAAACTTAAGCAAAACATTTACAAGAAAAAATACACGAAGTAACAATCTTTATTTTATAAAATGCATTCTCCAACAGTGGGAGAATACACTATTTTGAACCATCAGCATCTCTGCCCTTCTCTAACAATAAGGCTAGTTGAGCAAGCACTTTATAAATTTGGAACTGCACATAAAACTGAATTCAAAGGGACTCTATTTAATCAAGATTTCAGAAAATTCACCTTTTGGATACTTGTCATAAATCTACCCATGAATCCAACCGTGAAGCAAGTGCAGTCTCACCCTTCCCAATGATCCACCTGAGACATCTGACATCAAACATGCAGCCTAATGGGTCTGAGATCTACTCTAGGTTCTATAAGCACTATCCTTGCAAAACAATGTACCTTCATAGATCTTTAAAATATTATGCACCTGATACAAACGGTCTCTGCTCTGCACAAAAGTATCTTCATTGAATTAAATGTTCAGCTTTTTAAAAAAACTGATAAATATTTAATGATTTAATGATATTCAGTTTAGGAGGATGAAAAAGTCCTGGAGATGGATGGTGGCAATGGATGCAAAGTAGGAATGTACTTCATGCCACTGAACTTGATCCACTTGAAAATGGTTAAAATGGGAAATTTTGTGTTAGGTATACTTTACCACACACAAAAAGAATAGATAAAATAGGGTGCCTGGGTGGCTCAGTTGGTTAAGCGACCGCCTTCGGCTCAGGTCATGATCCTGGAGTCCCAGGATCGAGTCCCACATCAGGCTCCATGCTTGGCGGGGAGTCTGCTTCTCCCTCTGACCCTCCCCCCTCTTGTACTCTCTCTCTCATTCTCTCTCTCTCTCAAATAAATAAATAAAATCTTTAAAAAAAAAAAAAAGAAAAAATATTTCAAGATAATTTCTGTATCTTTCACAAAGTTGTAAGCTAAAGACATTTTCCTTTGTTACTTAATTCCCTCAATGAAGAATCTACATGACATTTCTCCTGGAATTCAGGACCAATATAAAATCTGCTACCAGAGAAATTTGCTGATAGCCTACGACAAATAAGAATTCCCAAATCCAAAATACTTGTGACTTAGATGCTAGCAGACTAACATCTGAAATTCAGTGATTAATATTGCTCTTAAGTTCACTGGTATCAGCCATTTCCCCCATTTCCTTATTATTTCTATTGCTTTTACTTTCAGATTTCCTGTTCTAATTTTGTAGGTCACCTCAAATCCTTCATGCAAATAGGGCATAAATTCAGTAAGACAAACCAATTCATTTTCAAAATCTTTCAACACCATTTATTCATTCATTCATTCACCCATTCATTCATTCATTCATTTATTTGTTCATTCATTCAACTTACCCTGACTGTTAGCACCAGGTCTTGTGTTATCTTTTGCATGTACATCATCAGTCTATCAAAAGAAAAGGATAAAAAAGGGGTAGCAAGTGGCTAAGTAAGGATTCTAAACAGATATTTTTTTTGAAGGGAAAAAAGTATCTAACTTTGGACTGCATTTCAGACATACATCTTTAGAGTATATAGGCAAAACCATTCTTCAGATTTAGAAAACCCTTTATTAACTGTGGATCTAAGGTTAATCAATTTTAAGTGTAATAATAAAAATGCAAAGGTGGCTTTTAGAATGTTGTATATTTACTATAACACACCTTTATTTTATAAAGGTAAATCTAAGAACAGTGGGGGGAAAAAGATAGATGGACACATGAAATTGATTTTTAGGAAAATAAGGAACTTCAAGAGGACACTAAAATATTATTAAACATAGCAGTCATTGTGTCTGAAATTAGATCTATGTATACACATAATCCTACTCATTTATAAAAGTTACATCAAGGAAGATGATCATTAAAAGTAACTCTTACAGAGAAAAAAATAAAAGCCCATCACTTATTCTGTGCTCTCAAGGCCTAAACTTTTCTGGTCAATGTGCTGGACTTCTCTTAGATACAATATCTGGCTATAAGCATCACTTAAGCATGTTAAGCTAGTTTATGAAAGTTTTATTCTCCACAAATGTTAACAGTGTAAAGTACTCACTCTAATGTGGTTTTTCCCAAGCCTTTCCCAGAGTCTGTCAGTTTTGGGATTCACTGGGACAACAACATGGTGTACAGTGTCCGGAACGGAGTCTTCTCCTTTTAAATCAACCCATGTGGGAAAATGCATTATCTTCTCAGACAGCTTCTTCACATCAAAAGAATGCAAAGTAGCAGAGCAAACAATCACCTAAGAGGAAAAAAAAATTTAGATCAACTTTTCTTTTACAATAATAATTCTACCGTATGAATACTAATGTGCGGTCCAAAGTCTGTTAACCCGGAATCTACAGATGAGTTTAATACCTGACCCTGCAGTAGTAACTAGTGGCGTGACTTTGGGCTGGTTAATCTCTCTGAACTATGGTCCCCTCACTCACAGTGAGTCCCCTCGCTCACACCAAGTCCCCTCGCTCACACCGAGTCCCCTCACTGCCACAGAAACCATGCCATCGATTCCACAAGGTCCTACAAAGACTAAGATGAAGAGGTTTCTGAAGATCTAAAATCTTAAGTTACTATTAATTCCCTTCTCTCCCCCTTAAAGCCTCTTCTACCTCTCAAATTCTTCCTAGGAAAGAAGGATGAGAAAAATAAGAGTAGTATTTTAAGAAATATTACAAAGAAAACAACTGTTTTTCAACAGCTCAAGATACTGCCCCCTCAAACAGGAAGCAGTACTCACAGTCTGGAATATAAACTCTAAATGCTCTGTAGAAAAAAACAACTAAGAATTTTTTACTTATCATCTTCTGTGACACCTAATTTCCTCAAGTTCCCTTCTCCTTAATTTCTACAAGCAGCTTTTAAGACTGTTTCTTTGTATGTACTATTTACTCAAGTAATAAAGAAAATGTTTTATACAGCAGTTAACTTAAATCAGAAACAAAATGTAAAACAAAACAAAATAAGCATTAACACATAACAATTGTCCACATGTATTTTAAGACGCATCCGTCATTTCATACCTGAAGTCTTTTCCCATCAGAGGTAATCTGAGGAATCTGATTGTGAATCCTATTTATAAAATCAGAGTAACCTTGAGAAAGAAGCCCATCCTGAATGAGAAGCAAAGAAAAGCATACATTTTTTAATCAATACCTGAATCTTTCTTTTGTAAATCAAATGTAGAAAGATAATGGAAATGAATTCATAAACAAACATATCCCCATATTCTCAAAATGATTATTTCCTATCAGATAAAGACAAGTTATAAATTCATCTTTAAACTCCATGTGACTAAAATATGAAAAAGCTGACAGTAAACAATCCAAAAACTATACTCCAGTATTCTAGAATGAATACGAGAGATAACCGCTCCTACCATATATCCTTAAGCACATGATTTTAATATGAACAAATGAAAACAAAAATCCTCAGTGCTAAAAAACCACCTCAATTCATATTGAAAATACTTTGGAAGTACATCTCAAGAGGCTCCAAGACATTAATGTCCTTAGAGTTCACACTGTGCAACTATGACATGAAAAAATAATTGTAATGTGTAAAATAATCTATGCACCAACAAAGACAGCTACTTGGAGTAAAAAACAAATCAATATATCTAGTCACAAGAGGGGTTAAATAAACCATGAAGTATCCATATAACAGAGCACTAGACAGCCTTTAAAAATTGTTCACAAATAAGGACATGAAATACTTATGATACTTTATTAAGGAAAAAAAAAAAGGTTTCTGAGATTCACATAGCTTGATTTACCACATAAAATAGTATTTATATAAATACAAGGAGTGGATGAAAATATACCAAACTGGCAATAATGATTATTTCTAGGTATTGGGATCATGACTGAATTGTGTTTTTTTTCATCATTTTAACATATTTTTATCTCCAAAAACATAAGCAAACATTTTTTTTTTAAAGCATAACTATATTTCAACATACAGCTTCATCCAGGACCAGGAATCTAACTTGGGATAAGTTCAGTTTTCCAGTTGACACCAAATCATCTAGTCTTCCTGGAGTGCCAACGACTATATCTACCTGAAAAATATCAAAAGAAGCACCTAATGAAAACCAAAGCACTATTATGATCACCGTAAAACAGCAACCAACAGTGGTTTACCTACAGTGAAAACATGCATCCTGAAGCAGTCTCTATCAGCTCAAAATTCTCAGGACAGGAGCTCTAGATAATGCCCTATTACCAAACCTGTATTTGGTTTGGAATTAATGTAAAGATTTTGGTAACTGATTTTGACATCCTTAACTGTTACGTACAGTCTAATATATAAAACTTGTATTTTCTGAGTGAATGAATTTATGGGGAACTCTGAAATCAAACCAGGATTCAAATCCCAGGTCCACCATTACCCAGCTGTGTGACCTCAACTTAGTTCACCTCTTCTAGTTTCAACTTTCTCTTTTTTGAAATGGGCAACACCTTTGGCATTGCAAGACAGTTGTGACAACTGAGAGATGAGATACCTAAATCACCTGATGCCTAGTATGCCAGGTGCTTGATAAATGTAGTTATAGTTGATAACGGTGATGATCTGACTCGGAATACATTACTACTTGTCAAGTGCTTATAATGAACAGGCACTGTGCTAATGTTTTACAAGTACTGTATCATCTCATGACCACTAAAGAAAACACTATTATTATTCCCTTTTTTTAAGTAGGCTCCAAGCCCAGTGTGGAGCCCAATGCAGGGCTTGAGCTCATGACCCTGAGAACAACACCTGACCTGAGATCAAGTGTCGGATGCTTCACTGACTCAGCCACCCAGGTGCCCCAATTAGTCCTATTTTTAAATGAGGAACCTGAAGTTTAGAATACTAAAATCACAAGAACTTAAATGATATAGCTTGTAAGTACCCAAACTGGGATTTCAAACTCAGTCCAAACATGAGAAAAGGTCTAACTCAAGAACAAGTTTTATTTAACTTTTTTTTTTTTTTAAAGATTTTATTTATTTATTTGACAGAGAGAGACACAGCGAGAGAGGGAACACAAGCAGGGGGAGTGGGAGAGGG